ACAATAACATCTCTAAACTCAGAACAAAGTATGGAAATAAGCGAAAATAATCTAATTTACACGTTACTGTGAACACCAAATCAAATTTACCAACTTGAAAAAAAGCTGTACTCATCCTAAACCTCCCCCAGTCTGAACTTAGATACCAAAGAAAAACTTCAGTACTTTGGCATTGTAATAAATTGCTCGTTATCACCCTAAGAATCAGTTATTAATCTAGAAGAAACAAACTCGTGCTGAATCTTCAAACGACATTAACTACACAGGAATGTTGATTCCTGTGGGTTCTCAAATTTAAATTGCCTCAGGCACCAAGTTACATACTAGAAGATAAACGTGGCAATCATTTTTAATATTTAAGGAGAGTATTTAGAATTCACAGCCTTAAAAAATCAAATTTGAAATTAGTATTAATATATTGCTCACACTCAGGACACACACTATACATTTTCAGCTAGATCTAAAACTATGGCCCCCAAATAAACCTTTGCTCTTAAATCAAGTATTAAACAAATGCTGAGGCCACTTAATCTAGGTACTATCTTTCTATCTCCTCTGTTACTACCATGATCTGAGTTAACACCAACACGGGTAAGTTCAGAACAGATAAAGGTTTAAGACTCATGTTTGGGATTTTGCACTCAAATTTGCACAGTGGACCACCTCAAAAAGATTACTTTATTGATCAAAAATTATCTACAGCAACTGTAGAGATTATCCCACACATTATCTCTGTGATGAACAGAGAAAAGATTAAGAAGTATGTCTTAAGTTCAGTGGCTTTAATGAAAATAAAAAGAACCTTTTAGCCAACACAAGTCATATACAATGATAAAAGAAATGCTGAGGGAAGATTAAAAGAGAGAGAACTCAGTTCCCTAATGTTGTATATAGTTTCTTTCAGGTTAATTCAAGCTATAAAGGATGTACTGTTGAAATTAATCTAGTTTGCACGACTAATCTCATCCTGGTAAGAGCTCTAAGTTTATCACAGTGCTCTCTGCAATCTGACATTTTTCTCCACTTGTTAGCCTATTGTCCATTCCATCTTTCAGGAATTCAACACTACATGGAATCCAACACTACATAGCACTCCTTCATTATTTTCATAACAAGACAAGGAAACATATCTCCAAGCTCCAGTCACTCACCAGAACACTCTCTCTATACAGACATAAAAACCCCAATAACTGGAACAATGGGAATCTCTACTTTTGGTCCAGTGAATTTCCAAAAGCAGTAATTCTCATTTAGGTGAGAGGATCAAAATTTGTTGGAAAATACCTTAAAACTACTGATGAGTGACAAAGTACCTGTAGATTACATTCCCCCAACTTTGTACTCTTTTCTTTCCTCACTCCTCTCTTAAAGCATCACTGTTTCAGGAACCTCAACTGTTGATGAGTGTATTTGGGTTATGGCAGAACAAAGACTTAAAACAATGCTAAGAGAGTAACATAACCAGGTGTCCCTAGCCTCCAGATAGCTAAAAACCCCACATGGAACAATTTACAGTTCCCTGGGTCAAATGAGAAAGCAATGTTGTTGGGGTGAATTTAATCTAGGATGACAGCAAAAAAGAATTATGGAATTATCAGAAAGACACATCTTCAAAGATATAAGCATCGAGGGAGGAGCCAAGATGGCGGAGGAATAGGACGGAGAGACCACTTTCTCTCCTACAAATTCATCGAAAGAACATTTGAACGCTGAGCAAATTTCACAAAACAACTTCTGATCGCTAGCAGAGGACATCAGGCGCCCAGAAAAGCAGCCCATTGTCTTCGAAGGGAGGTAGAGCTAATTCATTTCAATGTATGACAAAAACTACTGTAATGATGTAAAGTAATTAGCCTCCAACTAATAAAAATAAATGGAAAAAAAAAAGATATAAGCATCCAAACTATAAAATACCACTATAGCTTTTTCCCCATTCATAATTCACCCCATGCTGCTTTCATACCCCACCACCACAATTTTAAGGAACTGTTTAAGACAAAAAACCCCTGAAGCTCCTAGGGAAATTGTAGACTTTAAGAGGCAATAAGAAGCTTCAAAAATGTAGGGAAAATGCTCAGCTTCCTCTTACCCTCCATGAAAATATATACCTTTACTCTGCCTGAAGTTTCTGTTTCTTGAAAATCTACCTATTAATTTGGATTAATAAAAGTGTTTTCCTGCTTACATAATAGGTGCTAATAAATAGTAATTTTTAGCATTTAAAATCTGAATGTCAAATATTTATACAGTTCAAAAAGTAAAAATCAAGAAGATATCCATTATGAAGATTCCCAATCCTACTTTGCTTCCTATCTATCCAGTTCCTACTACATTTATTAGTTTCTTATCTTTCCAGACTTTCCTTGTGCAAATTATTTCCCAGGACATCTTGATGAGGGGAGCTGGGGGCCAAGCTGAGAAAGACTGGTGGGTGCAATGGCAGAGAACCTGCTCTGTCTCTCAGTGGCTTTCTCAAAATGGCCATAGTTCTCAGACAGCAAAAATTTGTACATCTATTAAACACAAATCAGACTCCTGAACCCTGGCTCCATTCTGGCTAGGGCTCTGGTGTCCCTACCTGGCCTGTGTGAGGGGGAACGCTCTGCCACTCTGTTAGAAAAGAAAGCCCCATCCACCATTTCTTAAGAGCTGGCCAAGTGTAACAAGCTGTACTTTAACTAAGTAGAGCCACACCTAATGAAATATCAAAGTCCAGAGAACGTGCCTCCAGGCTTTGCTTTAATCTGGGGGTGATGGGGAGGTATGTGTACATGTGAACAGACTGCCATCTTCAAAGCGGTTTCATGTTTACAGATAATTTAAGCAGATGGTACAGGGAGCTCCCATATAGCCACTCTTTCCCCTACTCAGTTTCCCCTATCATTAACATCATGCACTAACATTGCAACTGAGGAACCAATAGTGACATACTATTTTTAACTGAAGTCCACAGTTTACATCAGGGCCCACTCTTCCTGTTGTACATTCTACTGGCTTCGACAGCTATATAATGACATAGGGCTTCCCTGGTGGCTCAGACAGTAAAGAATCTGCTTGCAATGTAGGAGACCCAGGTTCGATCCCGGGGTTGGGAAGATTCCCTGGAGAAGAGAATGGCTACCCACTCCAGTATTCTTGCCTGGAGAATTCCATGAACAGAGCAGCCTGGTGGACTACAGTCCTTGGAGTTGCAAATGAGTCAGACATGACTGAGCAACTAACACTATATATGTACTATAATGACATACCCACTATTATAGTACAAACAGTTTCACTGCCCTAAAAACCTCATGCTCCCTTTCTCCATCCCTCCAAATCTTTTCACTTACTGTCTTTAGAGTTTTGCCTTTTTCAAAATGTCATATAATTGAAATCATTTAGTATATAGTTTTTCTTCAAACTGGCTTCTTTCATTAAGCAATATGAACTTAAGGTTTAGCCATGTCTTTTTGTAGCTTGATAGCTCACTTCTTTCTATTACTGAATAATATTCCATTGTATGGTTTGCTGAAATCTGCTTATCCATTCACCATTCACTTTTTTTTTTAACATGATGGATTTATTTGGATGTATTCTGCCATTTTTTTTCCTTTTTTTTTTTTTGGTTATGCTGCACACCATGTGGAAACCTTAATTCCCCTACCAGGGATTGAACCCATGTCCCCTTGCATGCACTGGAAGCATGGAGTCTTAACCACTGGACTACCAGAGAAGTCCCCTTCATTTTTTAAGAAATGAAACTGAGGAACCATAAAGTAAGGTGAGCAATTCAAGGTCACAGAACTAATCAGTAGCTCAGCTGGAGTTAACCCTCTCTCTCACTCTTCCACAAACAAAACTCAGCTCCCACACTTCTATGCTGCTGTTCTTTCCACTATATCAAGTTTTTTTTTTTTTTTAAGGCAAGAGAAGATCTTATTTATTAGCTTTTTCCAGTCAGCAGTCTCCAAATTGCCTTTGTTTCTTTTTGGCAGGTTGTTTAAGTGGTTTGAAATTGATGCCCTACTGGAATAAAGCTAAACAGCTAAGCAACCAGGGCAGGAATGCCCAGAGAGAGCAGCCAGCTGCCCTATGCCTGAAAGGGAACAGGGGCTTTACCTGCAGGCCCGGGATGTTCAGGAGAGGAACTGGGAAGCCATAAGAACACCCTCAACCCCACTGGAGGGACAGCTCGGCTGCCTGAAAGCTGTGATGTCCTCTGCTCTCGGCTTCCTATGGCTGAGGACTTTCAGAGGGTACTCAAGATGCTACTCTCTTGCATATTCCGCAAACTAACAGCAATTTTAAAACAGAATATAAAGTGTCTTGATTGGGTTCTTACAAATGATATTTTTAGCATAATACTGGCCAAAGAAGAAAAAACTAATTTACAATGTGTAAATGTCAAAAACTCTTCAGAGAAAGTGAGCAAAAACAGGGAAAGGAAAAGGGGAGATATGTGTAAATTCAAGACAGGAAGTTTCAAAAGTTTACAAAAAGAGTAAGAGAAAAAGTATGTTCTGATAGCTATAGTCTCTGGAAATAACTAGGTATGAAACCCAAAAGAAGGACAAAAACCTGCCTTTGAGTGCTCTTCTCTTTCTTCTGTCTACTCAGGTCCTTCCAGGTCCTGCTCACCCCCCGCCCCCAGAGCTTCCTTCTTGTATCCCGACTCCTCTTTCAAACTCTCTGTACTTGACATTTATTTGTGGACTTCTCTGCCTCCCAATTCAATTCCAGGGCCTGAGACTGCAGGGCCCTTGTCACACATATCTTGGTTTCCCCACAATACCTCTAAACAGTGCCTCCTGCAAAGCAGATAATAAATAAATATGTATTAGTTAAGTCGAAGAAGCCAACTAGAAAGTAGTGTTTTTAAGGGGAGAGGAAATTAGAGTAGTATAAAGGATACAAAATCTGAGCACAGTAAGTTGTATTAATAACCAAATCAATCTAAATCAATTGTGTAACAAGTAGTATCAAAGGCACAGTCACCTGAAATTGCAAAAATAGCACAGTACCTGCAGGAGACTTTCTATGGCATGAAAGCCTCGAATTAAATTCAGAGCAGCACATAAAAGACTAAGGATAAATGCCACAATCCCTGAAAGAGTTGCTGGTTCCAGTCTCTGATGAGCTGAAAAATAAAAGAAATGATCAGAAATGAACATCAATACCTCACATCAATACCTATACTTACATAAAATGAAATTCACTGCTCAATTTAAATGGATCAAATATTGGTGAATCTTCATAAAATTATTTAATAAGATACCTTACAAATTAAATATTTTTTAAAATGCAAAATGTCTGATATAACAGCTTCATTCCCTTGAACTCAAGTTAACTTTTTTCCTACATTTTTAACAAAGATACCTAATTTGCATTTGGGGTACATAGTGCTAAGGAGTTGTCACATTTGCCAGTAAACCATATAGGAAAAAATCTTATTGCCTAAATATGTCTACCATTTACAAGTAGCTGCAAACATGTATATTCTTTTAGCTGCAAATATTTGCTAAGGTGATTTTGCTCAAAAATTCACTGCATAATTCCTATTTTTTCTGAAAATGTTTAGAAAACATTTTAAAGGACAAACATAGCTTGCTTTTAAGCAAAGCTCTTCCTTATTTGGTTTCCAGGGCTATAAATACCACAGGATATATGTGAAAGCTCATCTATAACCACTGATCTGAACTCTACAATAGAATGGACTCTTACAGTTATGAGGTTCCTGGTCTCTGAAGACCACTTGAAGGTAAAACAACAGTTGATGAAGTGACCAGTTTATTTTACAAACACATGCCCTATCCATTGGGGCTTCACAGTGTAACACATTTAGATATACAATAGCTTCCCTTCATCATCCTGCAGTTAACAAAATTAACTATAGAATCTAAATGAAAGCACAAAATTAAATACATAATCATCTAGACCTCAAAAGGGAGAGAGAGGGAAAAAGAGGACAACAGAACTATATTTAGATCATTTTATTTTAAATCACTGAAGTGTAAAAGCCCTAACAATGAAGTTAATGAGGTAGAACATTAATATAAAGGCTTAAATCTCTGCAACTTATATTCAGCCATTACAGCAGAAAAGTGTCCCTAAATAATTCATAAAAACACAAAAACCCACATGTCACGAAAAAAAGTTATTCCTCAAATTCAGCAGGAATCCAAATATAGGATATATTTTCTTAAATTTCTTCTGTGCCAAAGCTAACTGCTTGTTCTCCCAGTTAATTTCCTTGAGATTAATATGAAAGCAAAAACTAAATGTCTTTGTAAAGTATTAGTACCAAATTTTCTATCACTAGAGAAAAAAATCGCACAACTTAAGAATCTATCCAATGGTCTACCAATTAGTCCTGTTCTGCATCCCTCCCTCCATCCTTCCCCACTCCCTCTGGGTAGTAAGGGGGAACTGACCTCCAAGTAAAAAAGAAATCCTTAGCAAGGACCTCAAGCACAAAGCCACCTGATAACTAAACAGACTACAGAAATAACACTTCTAAAGTATACAAGTTTATCTTACCAAAAAACCAAATAGTAATCTATACTATAATTAAGAACCAAGGCTTTTGTGGTCAAGTAAGGAATGGCCACTCTTGAACGAAAAAATATTACCATTTTAATGTGTTGATCAATACCTATTTAAGAAATAAATAATAATATTTACCAAGTTTCTAGCATTTGCCTCTTAGGCCCTTGGAGCACTCTCTTTATAATGACAGTATACAATTTAAAACTTATTTCAAATGACTAGAAACATTTTTAAAGGCATGAAAGCCTCCTTTAACAAGCACAAGGCACAAATTATGCTGAAGGACAGGCTGGTAAGGCGCCAAATCACCGCAAGAAAGAAAATCTCAAGTGGAGATTCCCCTACTCCCACCCCATCCCCTTCCTAAGACCTGTGGGAACACTTACTAAGAAAAACTACATCTGCACAGAATGTGAGGCTGACACTTTGTAAGGACACTTTCTCATTTTAATGAACTGAATGAGATATTTAATCACATTTCAATGAATTATATTACATATTTTTTATTTTATAAAACAGATTTTAGATGAATTATCCACAAATGCTTACTTCACACTTCAATTTGGCACCATGATAGGTACTATTAGGTATAAAGCAGGTTTGGAACAGTAAGAAATGAAGAAATGAGAGGTAATGTAGAAAATAATAGTTTTGTTTAATTCAAAATAACACTACCAGGTCACTTTTTATTTTTTTAGCTATTATTGTCTTCTACTATGATTTTTTTTTAGATTAGTCTCCTTGAGCCCAATAATTGCATTTTCACGTCAAAATTAAAATTTTAATGTGCCAACGATTAATGGAAAGTTTTAAAAAATTCCTAAAGAAATAAGAGCAAATCCCTTGGAACAAAAGGGCTATTGCTTATAGTGAATATTTATATTTATTCAGCATACATTTTGGGGCGTGATTCTGAGTAAGATGCCGTGCGTTACAGGATTTAAAAAAATGAATTACCCAATCTGCCTGCAAGGCACTTCTAGTCTTCTACAGTGAAATGGACAGATAGCTCATGGAAGTAACAAGCATTCTAAATTAAAAGAGTTAGGGAATTCTGAAGAGGAAAGATAACTAGGGGAAAGATGGTGACACCAGAGTGGTAAGAGAACCAAGGCAGGTCTTTAAAGATGGTTAAAACTTAGACACATACAAATGGGAAGAACTGTACTCCATGCATAGAAAAGAACATTAGGAGCCTGGAGATGAAAATGGGAGAACCAAATTATAACAGCATCAACAAAAACCACTGCCACTACTAATTCTAATCCTTCTAATAGTGGCTGCTCTCAACATACCAGGCACCAAGTGCTTCATATATACGATCTCATTCTATCTTTCCAAGAATTCAATGCAGTACACACTACAGTTGTTGAAGCTTTTTCTGACAGGAAACTATGGTTTCGGGAGATTGAGAAATTTGCCCAAACTGAATAAAGGAACTGGGATTTAAATTTAGGGGGGTCTTCCCAGGTGGCACAGTGGTTAAGATGCAAGAGACCTGGGTTTGATCCTTGGGTTGGGAAGATTCCCTGAAGTAGGAAATGGCAACCCACTCCAATATTCTTGCCTGGAAAATTCCATGGATAGAGAAGACTGGCAGGCTACAGTCCATGGGACTGCAAAGAGTCAGACACAACTGAGTGACTGGGCACACACTCAGCCTGACTCTAGAATTCATGCTCTTCACCACTTTGTTATTGGGCACTGCTACTGGCCTTGTTTTGCTCAAAAAGATGTTTGTAAAAGTAGGAAGAAATTAGGTCAGAAAGGGAGGCTGAAACAAATTAACAGTCTGAAATATGAGGCTAAAAATTATGAACACACTCAACAACAGGGAAACATGGAAGAGCAAGACTGATGATTAAAGCTGTTCTTAAAGAATATTAACCTGTAAATGGGTTGTAGAGATTAAAAGGAGAGAGAGAGATAAATAATAGTTTCTTAGTACCTTCTCACTAGGGATACACAGTCCCATTTATCCTTCAAAACAGTGTACTTCATGAGGTAGGAATGACTAACTTCTTTGTGTTTGAATTTTCTCACCTACAAATTGAGGTTAAATAATTTGCTCTAAGATGGCTAGTAAGTTCCATCTTCACAATCAGCAGTTGGGTCTGAAAATTCCATGCTTTTTCTACAACTCTGCATTAAGAAATTCATGAGTGAGTCATTATAAGATATTGACTGAATTTAGGGCCTGAATTAGGATAGAGAAGTAGAAATGGAGAAGAAGAAAGAGGTGAGAGAGATTAGAGAGTCTTAAATTATTAGACTTAGCAACTAACTAGATGTGGGAAATAAAAAGGAAAAAAAATTAAGGAAAATGCCAAGCTTTGGAGTGCAGGTATTAGAAAGATAAGGGTACTATTAACAGATCCAGTGGAAGAAACTCAGGTTTGATTGAGAATGGAGACATTTTAAACATATCAAACTTGAAGTGATGGTGAGATATGTTTAATAAGCAACTGAAGAATGCAAGAACGGTGAGCTGGAAAAACAGATGAAGTCTGCATCTGATGGGAAGGGTTTGGATGAGATTACACTGAAGGAAGTGAGCCAACAGCAAATCCTTGGTAAACACTACCTTTACAGAAAGGAAGAGGAGGCAAGGAAGACAGATGTAGAACAGACAGAAGAGGAGGGAGCAACAGAAGCTCAGGAAGGGGAGACCATCAAGAAGATGTGGCTTACAATGCCTGTAAACAGGCCAAAGACAATCTGAACTGAAAAAGAAAAAAGATTAGATTTACCGACTAAGATACTTCAGAAAGTATTCAATGGTTTAAGAAGAGTGACTGAAGGCAAGATTCAGACTGCAAGAAGTTAAATAACTAGTAAAGGTAAAAGACAGAAGCAGTAAGTGAACACTTCTGCAGTTACAGGAGAGGAAAACAGGACGACAGCCTGCCAGATACAATAGGATTGAAAAATAATTATTTTTCCCCAGTAATGGGGTGGAGGAAGGAGACTTTAACACATTTACAGGTGGAACAACAAATTCAGTGAAGAAGAAATAGAAGAATCAAGAGAAAGGAAAAATAACTGGTGAAACAGAGTACCAGAAGAGTCATAGTGAGTATTCAAAAAGATGGTACCATTCTAACCTCAAACCTCATCATAATACCATGTCTATGCTGAGTCAAAGACAAAGTTCAAAAAGGTGCAGTCATTCAATGATGTCCAAAACACCTGGAGACACAGGTTTTAAAACGCAGAGAAATTTCAGGTCAGTTCTATCTAAATGAGCAAACTTATTACTAAATTAAGACTGAGACTAATTGTAAGATACAAAAACAGACTATTTTTTTCACTACAAGACCCTTTCTTTATCATTACCACTTGTCAAAAACCTGCATGTCCTTCAGGTTCCGAGGTCTGAAAGTGTTACTTCCTTTTTATTTTAGAGCATGTATCACATTCTACCTTGTATTTTACTTATTGACTTTTACTTGCTTTTACCATCTTGAAACCAGACATGTGCTTATTGTCTTTATAAAATGCCCTAAAATATTTAAACATAATACTTTGGAGCGAAAAAAGCAATAAATATTTGTTAGATTATGAGGGTGTGTGTGTGTGTGTGTGTGTGTG